GGCACTTAGACAGGGCACATAGAGCCCTCCGTGCCCGACGGGAAGACACCGCAAGGCCCAGAGACGTCATAGTGCGCTTCTTACACTACCGGACAAAAGAGGCAGTACTCAGGAGGGCCCGGGACACCCCGATCACCTACAAGAACACAGCGCTCACCTTATTCCAGGACCTGGCCCCCATCACGCTCCAGCGCAGGCGAGAGTGGCGTCCAGTCACGGAGCTGCTCCGGAACAACTCAGTGCGATATGCATGGGGCCACCCCTTCAAATTGATGGTCTTAAAGCAGGGTAGGCCTCATGTTCTCCTGCCAGGAGCAAATCCTATACCGTTTCTACGTGACCTGGGGATAGCGCCCCCCAACGACCTCAGATTGCCTACATCCGCACTCCCAGCACTCCGCACCCTACCGAGAGACTGGCATATGGCCGCGGGCCAATAAGGCACAAACGAACAGCAATGCAAAAACAAACAACCCAAAAAAAAAAAACACTCACCCTAGCTGCCACCCGCAACGTCTTACTTACCCGTTCTCCTTCAAGACAATTTCACCAGTGACTCTCAGAACTCAGAACGCAACTTGCAAGACGCCACCGGAGAACATTTCGCAACCCATCAAGGAGCAGCGCTGAGACCAACAACTGCCATGAGACCACCCGCCAACCACATCAGCACCAGGACTGGGGACAAGCATTTCCAGCTGCAACAACAAGGCCGCTACCCCAACCTGCGAAGGACACAAGTGGACTGATGGCCAGCCTAGCATCTGCCACGGCGGCCCCCAACATCTCTCAACGGAACTGTAATGTATTTCTGGACTCATGTATATAGGTTTTGGGGCACAGACAGCACACGCAAGCTCCTCTCACACACACTTAGAGAAATGGAACGCAATAGGATTGACAGACAGAAATTCATCCCTATTACAGAAACACAAAAAAAACACACAAAAAAAAAAAAGGGAAACACCACCCACATAACTTACTAACACGACGAAGATCTATACACGAGACACGCTCTCCAGCACAACCAGGGGTTACACTGGAGACACAGTAGGCCAGACATACAGCTGGAAAGAAAAGCCACACACTGTATACGGACAGCCTGATGTTTCACCAGAGTACCTGATGTTAATGTTTGATTGTATACAAATGTTTAATTGTAATGCAAACTGTATGCTAATGGCCCAAACTCACGCCTACTCATGTAGCCCCCATCCCTTAGCCCCCCTTTTAATTTAATTCACTTGCTTATTACCAGAACATACGTTGAGGGAAGGGACGACAGTCCGAACAGAGATGCTTGGGAGGGGGATCAGAGCAGGCCAGACACAGCAAGGCTCCATATATAGACAGCCCCACCTCTGCAATACCATTGCGGGTGCCACGTTGCGCTACCATCGACTGTGAGGTAAATAGACTACTATTCCCACCCTCCGGTGCTCCCATCATACACCCCAGCCAATAGACTACATGTACATATGGAACCCAGGCCGGGAACGCCTTAGGGATCCTACTGGACCCTGCGCAGGCCATATACAACTCTGAGAGCCCAACGAGACGGGACCTTTTCCTCCCATCCTCCCTCTCCAACTTATCACCTCGAACGCGGAATCACTACCGACCTTCTCCAAGAGGTCCTACCACTCCCCCTCAGTTAACATCCCCATCCCCGGTACACGGGAGATTCACACCCACAATATGCTCCACAAAACAGAGATGCTTGGCATATCATACCAACAGCACTCCTTATGGTATAGGGGTCACCCTCGGTGGCTTGGTTCATGACCCAGACCCCTCGGGCGGCAAGAGCCCTGAAGGAGGCAAGGACCCAAGTACCCCCCCATAGTCTGGCAAGGCATAAGACCAGACGGGTTCACACGTACCCCCCTCAGATTTCCTACCCCCCTCCCCCATCTTTCCCCCGCACACCATTCTACACGTCTCCAAACTGCAGATCAACCCTCTCCTTACCATCACCTTGGTCACTAATTGCTACGACAATACTCTCCCACGGGAACCCCACTCCTGCTGAGGGGAGGGGGAGCAGAGATGGGAGTAGATCGCCCCCCACGCCATGCCCCACACGGCTAGACAACACAAGAATCACCTTCACTCTACCATCATGGCACTAAAGATATCCTCACTCAATGTTAAGGGCCTCAATTCACCACGCAAGAGACGCACACTTTTTAGGGAGCTAAAAAGACTAAATCCGGACATCGCGTACCTACAGGAGACGCACTTACCTAGATCCGCCCAGGTCTCCCTCCGCGACCATTCCTACCGTGTGGCAGCAGAAGCCCGTGCCTTCCAAAAACGAAACGGGGTAACTATCCTCGTTCATAAACGATGCCCTATACGCCTCACCCACATAGACAACGACACAGAGGGCAGATACCTCATAGCGACGGGCCAAATCTACACACAAACCATACATCTAATCAACATTTACGCTCCCAACACCCCATCCCTACAATTCTGGAACCAATTGGCAGATAAAGTCCTGTCACTACCCAATGGAGTGGTGATACTAGGGGGCGACCTCAACGCCACCCCCTGCCCAGCTGCAGACAGAAGCTCCCGCCCGGGACTAGCCAGATCCCACGGCAAAGGAGGACAAGACAAACAACTCAACGACTTCATACGTAAAACAGGTCTCATAGACGCGTGGAGGGCGCAACACCCCAGCCATAAAGATTACACCTACTACTCTGCCCCCCACGACACTTACTCTCGTATCGACATCTTTCTGGCCAACCAAATAGGCTTCACTAAAACCCAAAAAACAGAAATAGGCACTATAGCCTGGTCAGACCACGCAGACATAGCCATCTATCTGGAAGGCCTACATAGTCCAACCCCGTGGACATGGAAGCTCAATACCTCCCTCCTCAATGACCCACTAGTTGTAACTGAAATACAAACACAACTACAGACATATTTCACAGAGAATCTAACGCCAGATGTCCCGATGACTGTAATTTGGGCAGCGCACAAAGCCGTCATTCGAGGACACCTCATCAAAATAGCGACACATAAGAAGAAATTGAAAACCCAAAAACTGACCCAACTTCTAGATTCCCTTCGTAAAGCGGAACAGAGCCACAAAACAGACCCAAATCCGCAAACATTACAACACCTACACGACACGCGCCTGGCTATCAGGCAGCTACTGATAAACGACACAGCGCGAGCACTAACGTGGACTAAACGGACATACTACGACAAATCGAATAAAATGGACACACTACTCGCCCGTACACTACGCCCTAGAACGCAACGCCCTCACATTACATCCATACGAGCCCCCGACGGCACCATGAAAACCACACCAACAGAGATAGCACAGACTTTTACCTCCTATTACGAAGCCCTATACAACCACACCCCCCAAGGCCATATGCTCACTCAGACAGCCTGCCAGAGGACATCTGAATTCTTAGCGCGCCTCAACCTACCCAAACTCCATACCGCAGCCATAGAAGAATTATCGGCCACAATCACCACAGACGAAATCAATATGGCCATATCCTCCTTGAAGAGCAACAAAGCCCCGGGCCCTGACGGCTACGAGGGGAGCTACTACAAAACCTTTCGCGAGGTACTACTCCCACACATGGAGACCTTATTCCGCGAACTACTCGAGGGAACCCCTCCTACCAAGGACATGACACAAGCACATATCATACTCTTACCCAAACCAGACAAGGACCACACCCTACCAGAAGCATACAGACCCATCTCACTAATAAACCATGATAGTAAAATCTTTGCTAAAATACTGGCGACAAGACTAAACCCGCATCTCACGCGACTCATCCACACAGACCAGGTCGGGTTTATCCCCGGCAGACAGTTATTTGAAAATACCAGACGGAACATAGACGTAATATGGACACTCACTACAACCAACACACCAGCGATTGCCCTGTCCCTAGACGCTGAAAAAGCGTTCGACAGGGTGAACTGGCCGTACATGTTCACACTACTAAACCACTTAAACATACCCCCCACCTTCATCACGGCAGTACGGGCGCTATACACAGACGTGACAGCCCAAATACAGCTGACCGGATCAAACAGCCCACGATTTAACATCTATAACGGTACTAGACAGGGCTGCCCCCTATCCCCGTTACTTTTTGCACTAACACTCGAACCCCTTCTACAGGCGATCAGAGAACACCCCAAAATTACGGGGGCAAGGATAACAGACCAAGAGTTCCTGGTCTCCGCATACGCGGATGACGTTCTCATCACATTAACTAACCCCATCCGCTCCATGCGCGCACTGATGCCCCTCTTGCGAAACTATAGTGCAATATCAGGCTACAAAGTTAACATGGAGAAATCCAGCGCACTCCCAATACTACTCGCACAGAATGAGACCACCCAAATCACGTCAGACTATCACATATGCATGGCACCGACCTACCTCTCCTACCTCGGCATAAAATTACCGGCAGATCTCACGAAGCTACACCAACTTAACTACTCCCCACTAATCACTAAACTCATAACGGACATGGAGACCTGGGCGGATAAACCCATATCCTGGATTGGCAGGATACACTCAGTAAAGATGAACATTCTACCCCGTATTCTCTTCCTATTCCAGGCCTTACCCACCCCCATAACGAAACAAGACTTAAAGCCTTTACAGCAGGCCATTGACCGCTTTATCTGGCACAACAAAAAGCACAGAGTGGCCAGTAACATTCTATATCGCCCCAACCCCAGAGGGGGATTAGGCCTACCACACATACATTTCTACTACATTGCAGCCCACTTAACACAAATAGCGATGTGGCACACCCCTCCGGAAACCAGGAGATGGGTGGACCTAGAATCCCTGATTATGAAATCGGACCTTCCTCAGTTTTACATATGGACCCCGAAAGAGCACAGAGCACTCTTAAGGACTACCTGCCCAGCTATTACAAATTCGATTCACATCTGGGACAAATATGCCACAAAATACGAACTAACAACATCGTCCTCCCCCCTCACCCCCATATACAGAAATAGAGCATTTATTCCAGGCATGAGACCCAGAGATTTCAAAGGCCTGGAAAATGCAGACCTACAAAGAATTCATCAACTCTACACAGGTCACGACATAATCACCTTCGCTGAATTACAAACCAGAACAACCCTAACCCCCGCAGATTTCTTTAGGTACCTCCAGCTAAGACACTATGCTACCCAAGAATCTGTTAAAAGAGCTGCACTAGCTAAACCAACATTCTTTGAAAACATATGCCTGGCCGAACGCTACCAAAAGGGATTGATCTCCCTCTTGTACTCCCATCTCTGCTCCACTACACGGGATTGGGGCACCCTCCACTACACAGACAAGTGGGAAATCGACCTTGGGGAAACATTAGAGGGGATAGACTGGCAGGACATATGGCAGGCCACTGCTAAAACCTCTATTTGCGTCACGATGCAAGAGCAGGCCTACAAAACGATGTTCAGGTGGTATACCACCCCTGTTCAGCTGTACCACATGAAAAAAACACCCACAGACCTCTGTTGGCGCAATTGCAGGGAGAGAGGGACGTATACCCATATGTGGTGGCACTGCCCTAAGATTAAAATTTACTGGACGGCCATTCAAACCTTCATGACCCAAATATTTGATAGGCCAGTGACACTGAACCCATGGACGTTCCTACTGGCCAGACCTCAGGAGAATTGGTCTAAACCAAACCAGCATCTGTTTAACAAAATAACCTTAGCGGCCAGGAGAGCGGTAGCCCAGATCTGGCTACAACAGGACACCCCCTCAGTAGCAATGGTGATCAATAAAATCAAAGAATGCCACTTAATGGACAAACTCACGGCCCAAATTAGGGGCACAACCAAAGCTTTTACTAAGACGTGGGAACCGTGGGAGACCTATAATGACCAGTAAGACCAATAAAGACCATGTAGCAGAAAGGAGTCGCAACCGCGAACGATAGACTGCAGTAACCTCCCCCCCCCTTACCCCTCTCCACTCTACCTCAACTTCTCTCCCCCCACCCGGACCACGACCGTTTGGACCGAGATGACCGGTATCCCGGCCCACAGTTCAGTTATTATCTGTTTTTGTTTTTCTGCACATACTGTTCTTGTTGAAACAATAACACCAACAACAACAACGGATGAAAGTAGAGATGTTAAAACTCTTCATATGTACCTGGCATGTTTATGTACTATTGAAACGCTCTTGCACGAGCCAAACCCTTTGCATTGTCTACTCCAAACCGTTGCAAAAATAAAGAATTTAAAAAAAAAAAAAGAAAAAAAAGAGAAGTAAGATAGTCCCTCTGAAAAGCAAGAACTTCCCATCTGGATTCTTCAGCAGAATGTTGTCTAGATAGTGCAGACATATAATGCCTCTTACTCTGACATGGGCTGTAATTGATTTCATTATTCTGCAGAATGTGTATGGTGCATTGGATAGGCCAAAAACCATAACAGTCCACTGCCAAACATTTTCTTTCCATAGAAACCAGAGGAAACACATTCTTGACTATGGGGACTAAATAGAAGGCATCTTTTAGGTCTAATTTTATGCAGAAAAACATATTTCTGCACTAAGCCTGGAAGATCTGATAAACCTTCCATCCTGAACCTTTCCCTCTCTAATGAAAGTGTTCAGATACCGCACATTTAGAACCAGTCTTCAGGAACTGTCTGACATTGGGATGGGGAACAAAAGCCTGACCATCCTAAAATTGATATGTCTGCCAACTCTATCTTCCCTTGACTTAAAGCTAGCGAAAGGGTGGCATCTAGAACTGGGTTCATCTCTCTACGGGATGCAAACCTCTAGACTAGGAACCTTAAAAGGAGGAATTGTAAGCCCCTTTGAAGAAATGTAAAACCCAGTTGTCCAGAAATATCCTTACAATTTAGTGACGGGTGAGGAGGCACACTTACTTGAATGCATGGGTTTTCTCTTGGCAGATGGACAGCCTCTGGTATGAGCTCCTCTGCCATAGCCTGAGAGCTTGTGTTTTCCACTTTAGTGCCTGGTGAGCCACTTCTCAGGATGCTCCTGCGGCCCTATCCTTTGTCCAAAAAGGCTTCTTGTAGTCTGGAAAGGAACTTATTAGAGCTCTGAAGAAGATCTCCTCACTTTATAACATCCTTTAACCTCCTTTATGAAGGATGGTCCCAAAAGGTAAGAATCCTCCAAATCATGGGATTTAGGGACTAGATCAGACATTCCCACTGCATGAAGCCAGCGGGTTCTGTGAATGTTTGAGATATAACTATTGGATTGACCAATAATTAGCACAGCCCTGCTGGAAGCTTTTATTAATGGAAGAAAATAAATGTCAGACACACCTGAGGTTTCTTCTAAAAGGTAGTCTTTTTATTTGGAACAAGAAAGTGGAGACAACGTTTCAAGTCCTCTCTGAGCTTTTATTAAGTCTCAGAGAGGAGCCAAAACATTGTCTCCATTTCTTGTTCAAAATCAAAAGACTGCATTTTAGAGGAAACCTCAGGTGTCTGGATATTTCTTTTTTTCCATTTGATGTATCCAGGGATTGGCCCTCCTTTTCTGGAGCACTTTGCAGGAAGTATTCCCCTTTTTCAGTGTGTGCATTATACAGTTTTTTGGTTTGTTTTTTTTGCAAACAAAGGAAGCTTTTAATAAAGCCAACTTAGATACCAACAAAGATAAAACTCATGGGTTCCAAGCAGTGCTTTCTATTTCTGTTTTATCTAGCATCAATAATAGAGAGAAAACAGCATCTGTAAATTTAAACTTTATATTAGAAAAGGTCTGGTCTGTAGGATCTGTAGATACACTGTAGATACACTCATTGTGATAGATAACAGAGCAGGACTTACCTCAGAAGCTATTAAACCCTGAAGGTCTGGGATACTGATGTGGTTCCTGAGGAGAAGATCATTCTCCTTCACTAAAGGGGATCTAAAGGCTAGTTTGGCAAATTGATAACCTTAGAATCGTGCTCCATGGCCCATCTAGAGTGAAATAATTTAGATGTGAGAGTCTTTCCCAGGAGACTCACTTTAGCCATCTGTACATTGCTAAACTTCCCTTGCTCAGTAGAAGCTGCTGAACGGACCACCTCTTCAGACTCCCAATCTATAACTGGAGAGCTGTGTCTAGAACCGGACAGGCTTTTAGAGGATGAACGAGCAAACGCTCTAGAAGAGGAAGGAGAAGGACTATGTAACCCCCACAAGATTTGAACTTTTTCTCTGAAAGGTGCTTCTGGTGCTCAAACAAGAGAAACACACTGTTCCCCTTTTGGACTCTTGTCCCTTTAATTTTTCGCTTACTCAAACAAGTATGAGGGGAAGGAGGACAGAGAAATGGTCATTAGATGAGGAACTGATGGAAGAAAGCAGGCTTCTTTTCTTGTGCAGTCTTTTATGTGGAACTGGGACTATATTCTCCTCCTCCTCGGAAGTGGATAGGTTCCTGGCAAGGAAGACTCTCTTTTGGTGCCTTTTAACATTGATGGGACTGACTCTAGAAGAGGCATTCACCATATGTGTGGCAGACATCAATTATGCAATATTAAAAATCTGAGGGTTATGAGTCAAATTACACAGCGTGTGAAAATTCCAAAGAACTTTCCCATGCTGTGTAAAATGACACAGAGCACTCTGATTGGTGGATTTCAAGTTAACCAATCAGAGTTCTGTGACAGGTAACTGTAGAGACTTACCTGTCAGTCTCTTCATTTACCTGTCAGAGCACTCTAATTGGATGGCCTAAACCCACCAATCAGAGTTTATAAGCCTTCCCCAGAGCTCAGTCTGCGTGGAGCCCTCCATGGGTGAAGAGGGATTATTTGCTTTTGCGCTGTTTTTTTTTTTTTTTTTATTGCGTCGGTTATTATGGATTTTTTATTTGGCCTTTTTTGGGGCCGAAAAAAGAAAATTTTAAAAGAAAGAAAACCTTGAATGGTAAGTTTTGTTTTTTTACAGGTACTAAGGTAAAGGTCCCCCCTTTTTATTTTTAGGGTGAGGGGGGTAGGTAGGGGTTAATTTTCTTTGGGGGGTGACTAGGGGTTTGGGGACCCCTAGTCACCTGGGGGGGTAACATTTTTATTTAGGGCCCCCACCCACCACTCAGGGGTGGGGGCCGGGGGGGAGGACAATAGGTCCCCCCCATTGGTATTTAGGGCCCCCACCCGCCGCTCAGGGGTGGGGGCCAGGGGAGAGAACATTAGGTCCCCCCTCTTAATAGTATATAGGGCCCCCACCCACCGCTCAGGGGTGGGGGTCAGGGGGGAGGACATTAGGTCCCCCCCTTATTCCAATTTAGGGCCCCCACCCACCGCTCAGGGGTGGGGGCCAGGGGGGGAGGACATTAGGTACCCCTTTATTCCAATTTAGGGCCCCCACACACCGCTCAGGGGTGGGGGCCAGGGGGGAGGACATTAGGCCCCCCCTTATTCCAATTTAGGGTCCCCACCTGCCACTCAGGGATGGGGGCCATGGGGAGGACATTAGGTCCCCCCTTATTAGTATTTAGGGCCCCCACCCACCACTCAGGGGTGGGGACCAGGGGGAGGACAATAGGTCCCCCCCATCATTTTACTTTAGGGCCCCCATCTGCCTCTCAGGGGTGGGGGCCGGGGGGGGCAATAGGTCCCCCCCTTTTTCCAATTTAGGGTCCCCATCCACCGCTCAGGTATGGGGGCCAGGGGGAGGACATTAGGTCCCCCCCTTATTCCAATTTAGGGCTCCCACCCACCGCTTAGGGGTGGGGGCCAGGGGGGAGGACATTAGGTCCCCCCCTTATTCCAATTTAGGGCCCTCACCCACCGCTCAGGGGTAGGAGCCAGGGGGAAGGACATTAGGTCCCCCCCTTATTAGTATTTAGGGCCCCCACCCACCGCTCAAGGGTGTGGGCCGGGGGGGGCAATAGGTCCCCCTATCATTTTACTTTAGGGCCCCCACCCTCCGCTCAGGGGTGCGGGCCGGGGGGGCAATAGGTTTTTGTTTTTTTAACAGTGAGCAGCCACAGGCTACTCACTCTTTAATAGAGATGCCCCTACTCATGATATAGCGAGTAGGGGCAAAATTTACTAATACTAAGTAATTTTTACTTAGTATTAGTAAATTTGGCTGAAAGACCAATTTTTACTTAGTATTAGTAAATTTGGCTGAAAGACCAATTTAGGTCTTTCAGCCTTTTGGTAGATAACTCCCTAATACCATGGGAATT